CCTTGATCGTTTCTGCGTGGGTTAAACATCGGCCGTTCTATAGGATTCGGGGGGAGGGGTGCGTCAGGCGTACGTACGCAGGTTGGGGGGGGGTGTAAATAGTCCACGTGCGTACAGGGAGCGGGGGGGGGGAAGAGAGGTCAGGTTTTGACAGATTTTTGCGTACCTACTAAATGGATGGCCCCAAAACTATCTTGCACTCCCCGCTTTCACCGACTCGTACCGACCAGGGTGGTGAAGTATGGCCGTGTAACCCCCAGAGGATGCCTTCATCCAGCAGTGGATTGACAAAAGGGTTGTGCATATGCTGTACATGTCACCGTTTAGTCGCCTTTAGGGTGACCTTTCTACCAGCAGTGCCCTGATCAATAAATTCGAGGGTTTACATACCTGTAAGCACTGCTGGATGACAGCAGCCTATGGCTGTGCGTGTATACAAATATCTAATGCGTAACATCTTCTATTTGTATTACGTATAAGCCTTCTGAACCGTAAGTAGTTGTACCTCGGCTCACCTAAAACACGTTCCTTTTGTTAGTTTGCTAAATATCGGATATGTTAAAGGGTTGTTACGGACTAAAGGAGGCCCTTCACTGCCGTGTGTTTTGGTGAACCCGAGTCAACAAGTGGGAGTGTGGCCTCCAGCCAGTGTGACTGTTGTCTGAGATGAGTCAGTCCTGGCGCAGACATAATAGTTTCCAAGTCGCAGGACGTATTCTGGAATGTTATTCAAGCTCAACTTCTAGGCAATGTTATTTCAACATCCAGCGTTAGATTGTACAATAAACGAATCATTGTTTGATTCCACTATAAGGAACCAATCGTTAAACCTCGTAATTATAATCGTAATAATTACACCATCACTTAACCTCTAAACTTGACGGGGATATCGTATTATGTATGTAATCGATAAATATATTCATTATCGGTTTCATTACCCAACCAATCGAATATAAAAAATAGTTGGGGGGGGGGGGGAGACGTCTGTGTTCTGTTGCCACGTGTGCCGCTGGACGGGAGGTGATAGGGTTGGTTTGGAAAAGTCATTGGCATCTCTCGCCTACATCACGCTGGACTTTTCTCGCCTTTCGGAGGCACAGATAGGCGGTCCCCACCGTTAAAGTGGCCTGAGATATTTACCCACAAAAAAGACGTAGATTACAATATTTGGTTGACTCATGGACCTAATCGTGCCCAGGTTTACTGCACTCAACCACGAGCAAATGTTGCAACATGCAGATTAGTGGCACTCGTTGTGTTTATTATTGTGGCACCATCGCCTAAATCGTAATGTGTCATGTGATGTCTGGTTCCCATGGGTGGCTTTGTGTGACGGGACTGGACAAACAAAAAAACCCGTTTCAGCACTTTAGTGTCATTTTTCATTCAAACACCACTTTTAAGGCCAATTGCATCGCAAGAGGCTTGTGGAACTTTACGCTCTAACGAGGATTAACATCACACAGTCGCGGTAGAGTGAACTTTGAGAAGGTTAGGCTTAGCCACTATCGGGAGGAAAACGTAAAATGTATAGTTAAGGTGGACATATGTGATCGTAAAGTGTAATTTTTGTAACGCAAGAGCTCATCAAGGCATGATATTCAACAGTTTCTATGTTCTGTACTCCTTCTGTCTGAACGGTCACCAGTGGTGAATGGATTTAGTGAGAGGTGGAAAGGCAGGCTTTCTAACATGAACAAATAAGAATAGGTTCTACCCTTTCTGGAAATAAAACAGGTGTTAAGCTATTTAAACACCTTTTGCAAGGAATCCTGTCTGCATTAACCACACGTACTTGTGGTGAACATGCAAACAAAAACATGCTCCGATAATTATATTAGCATTGCCCTTGAAACTGAAATTCGGCGTTCTCTGGTTTACACTGGTGAGACTAGGCCCTATAAAGAAGGCTGTCTCTGATGTAGACCAATTGGTTTGAAGGACAATGCATGTTGATGTTTGCATGTTCACCACAAGTACGTGTGGTTAATGCAGACATGATTCCTGTGCAAAAGGTTTCTATTTGGTGGTTGAACATCTGAACGCCTGTTATATTGCCAGAAATGGCAAAACCTATTTTAATATTTTCATACTTTGATACTGGCAAAAAATATCCGATTCGGCAGGACTCATGTTGAGTATTCTTAGGTTTTTTCGGTAAAGTCACGTAGGTGAAAAGTAAAAATTAATAAAAGTAAAATAAAAATCACGACGTTTCGGAGGCAACACAAGCTTCCGTCTTCAGGTGGAACCGTCACAGCACGCTTGCTACTTGATACAGCAAGCGTGCTGTGACGGTTCCGCCTGAAGACGGAAGCTTGTGTTGCCTCCGAAACGTCGTGATTTTTATTTTATTTTTACTTTAATTTTATTAATTTTTCTTTTTAACCTACGTGACTTTACCGAAAAAACCTAAGAATATGAATACTTGCAGTCACGAAAGCTTCAAATCTAGAACTCATGTTGAGTTTTCGCTCGCACGTGTGCGTGTTGCCATCTCGTGGTTGGACGTTGTAAATACAACATTCGCAAAGACGAATGCGAGGGTCGTGTAAAATAATGTCTTGATATTAAATAATTGCAGTACTGTACAAAAACACACAGATAACATTTGAGCAATGATAAAGTAGGGCGCCGGATTGCAATTGTAATAATATTTTTCAGGAAATGTTCGTGTGGCAAAAATGGCTTTCACGAGACGCGTAAGGCGATTGCGACGGCATGGGAAGGATTTTGTCCAATGATTAACCATGCGCACATTCGGGTTGTAAGCGATTTTGAATTTATTTCAGGCCTAAATAGAAAATTGTGCTCATACTGTAAACTGTCAAATAGAGATTTGCTTAAATATATTCAGGCACAGTAGTACATAACGTAATAAACAATACATCTGGGGCCAAAAATTCTACAAAATGTGATATATTTTACAGCTAAATGTTGTCATCTGGGTAAATAAAACCCCTAATTAAAAGTATCCCTCATTTATTACATTTCAACCAATGTTACTAGGACAAAAAAAATCTCAAAATAGACAAAGATTGTATGGATGAATGACGAAATTAACAAACGTTGAACAATATTGAAAACCCATTACAAACTTACCAGCAAAAAGAAAATGGACCCAAACTAAATTTTCGTTTTAATTAAATCAAAATGAGAAATTATGAATGATATGCATGAAATTGCACTATAAGTAACTTTCGTATGTATTTTATATATCATAATCACGAAGTTATGTCTAAAAACTGCCAGATGAAAGCATCCCCATGCCTCTCAGGGTATTTATGCAGAGGAATGTGCTTATGCAGGTGTTTGAATGAGTGGACACAAAGGAGGAAAGTAATGAAATGAACAGGAAATGAAAAGTAGGCAAAGAAGAATGCATTCTGGGAATTACACCGAAACAAACACATGGATCAGACAAATAATGCAAATTAAGAGACGTTGTATCGACAAGAAAATAGGGCTTAGGACACACTGCAAGAATGGAGGGGCTGATCGATTACATGGCAGCTTAGGGAGGAAGCACGCCTAATTAAACAACCACAATGAAGATACGAGTCGATTGGCTGATGTGATTAATTAAAGTATTTGTTTCCAAGAAATAATATTTTTAAAGATTAACACAGTTCAGGACAACCAGGCAATTAATTATTCTATTTAGGTTAGACAATAAACAAATGCCATTGTACTCTTTGGTTCTTTCGGTAAAGTCACGTAGATGAAAAATAACTAAATTAAATCACGACATTTCGGAAGCAACACAAGCTTCCGTCATCAGGTGGAACAGCCACAGCAAAATTACATTAGTGAATAGAGAGAGCTATTTGTGACAAGAGATTATATATTCACTACAGTAATTTTGCTTTGCTATGGCTGTTCCACCTGATGACAGCAGCTTGTGTTGCCTCCGAAACGTCGTGATTTAATTTAGTTATTTCCATTTTATTATTTAAAATTTTCATCTACGCGACTTTACCGAAAGAACCAAAGAGTATGGATCCTTGCAGTCACGAAAACTTAAAATCTAAAAGGAAAAAAATGCCATTGTTTTCACAATAGCTGACTTAATGCGCACATATTACTGTCGATCATGTTACCAGTCTATGGCTTTACACAATAAAATGCTGTTGGGTTTCAACATATTACATCGATACAAATTTATTATATATTACAATAATTCACAGCCCTTTTGTCAATCCACTGGTGGATGAAGTTCTCCCCAGGCCGCGCCAGTCGCTAAGACCATAATTCACGAAGCTGGAGGCCAAGGGACAGTTCAGATATTACTTGTCATTGATGTTCGTTGTCGCTAGAAATTGAACTCGACTGACTGGGTTCAAAGAGCAGTGCACTGACCACTGCATCGAAGACCATAATGGAGAGCCACAATTGTAATCACCAGTATACGTAGTGAGTGCACTGTATATTTTAATAATACAAACATTGTCATTACAAATGCAAAATGTAGTGCAATGCAGCAGTCAGATAGAGAACTTCATGGTGACATTAAACTCAACAGTTAAGCCAAGTTCATGATGCCTGTTTAAAAGACAAAGCAAGGTTATTGTGGATTCGGCAAACTTAAATGTAAATGAGAAAGGCTTTGATTTTGCTCGCAATCATAAACATACAGAATAAAGCACTTGAGCGAAATATCTATATGGTTTAGCTTAAAGTGTGCCTCTTTCATGTCCTTCCCTGTGCGGTGTTATGATGCTCAGCTCAGTTTCAGGTCGGAAGAAACATGAAGGGCCACACCTTTGCTACACCATGGCATTCAAAATGCATGGCTTAATAGAGCTCCGACATTACCGTATACAATACGCCATTCTCACATGCTGGCGACATGAGATGACATTAAACATTATGAAAACCCCAACGTATAACAAAGGGTGAATACACGGTATATTTGCACACACACACATTTTTTTCCCAATTGTGAAATTGCTACAATGAACAGTTATCATAAGGCACCAATCCGAATCTGTGAGAAGTGATTAAACATGTGAAAAAAGTTTTATTGTGCCAAACCATTTACATACGTAAAAAAGATTACACAATTTTATCCATAGGCTTTCAATACCAATATTATTCATAATTGGCTCCCTTTGGGTCATGTCATCGTGTAAAAATGTGCCGTAAATCCTCCTCCACCCGACACGACCAATTAATAAAGGTGTCACGTGAATCAAACATGTGAAATGTATGACCGATTCAGCAGCAGCACCACTAGTGGCGTTGTAAACTCGTAATAACCTGATGATACTGGATGAAATCTCCAGCCAAACGTCGCACCCATTGAAGTGTTGTGAGATGTCTCTATAAAAACAACACTGGTGGTGGCGCTGTTGAAGTAGTGACACATTTGCCCACGTTTGTTTCAAGCGACACTTTAATCAATTGGTTGGGTCCGGTGGAGGAGGGTTTACGACACATTAACATGATGACCCAACCAAACAGAAACCAATTATGAATCATTACAAAACATTACTAGATCAGTGTATTTTCATTGAAACAAATTCGCAAAAAGAAACTACTCTGCAAAAGTTAATAATGAAGGCTCTTTCAAAATGCATGCATTTGTCTCAAAATAACACATGCGGGAAATTACATTGTAGGATATATTTCATAACCATAAAAGCATACATGTACACAAGGCATTCATTGTGGATATTATCAGCAAAGCGGCGTGAGAAAAACACGAGCAAGAACCTGCATTTGATAACAATGTGGTTTTACTCAAAAACGGTGCTCCTTAAATTTGGTGCTTCTTGAAACCAGAAATGTTGGTGTGGAATAGGTAATATGTTTCTACCCTTAAATACGCAATATAATCCACTAACAGGAAATGCCTCCCAAGTAAGTTGGCAGAGGACTGGCTAAAGTATTTTGTTTTGTTAGGGTCCTCTCTTTGGGTCCCAGACAGCCTGGCACAAGCACCGTGGTGACGTCACCACCACGTAATGGTGAATGGCGGTTGTTATAATTGTCAATGGCACCTTGTGGTATTGGACAAGCATGCAAGTTATCATTGTGCCTTGCACAATAACAACTTGGAAATAATGCACATTTGTTATTCATGATGACTTGGAAAAATGTGACACTATTCACGCTAACCTAACTCAATATCGACCCAGTGATCATTTAATGCGGAGTATAAACCAAATAAAACAGTGGAACACCTAGGAATGTCAAATACAACGCTTTTATTGAACTGTATAGAATGTTTTACAAAAAGCCTTCTTAACCTGAGATACAGTTTTAAAAGGTCACATCAGAAAAAAATCTGACATCTTTTTCATGTAGCATATAACCGAGTTGCTAAGTAAACCATTCAATTTAAAGGAACAACCTCAGCGGTACTAAACGTTTAAGAATTATTATTTTTAAAAAAATCATGCCCACTGGCTTACAGCACACCCTTTCATTGAATTAAACATATCAATATACCATATCAGTTCATCCCTTTGCACACTTGTAGCGCCACACATGGGGTTGAAGTTTCGTGACAATGCTCCTAGCGGGGCGATGGGAAGTGAAACTCCTTCGTGAGCATGGAGACAATGCAGGGGATTTGCTTCTTGCCGGAGAAGCGCGTGTCGCTTGAGAACGAAATGTAGTCATATGCCACTTTCCGGTTGACTCGCGTGAGCAGCTGCATCAACTCCAAATTAGAATTGGCGCTCTCTTTGAGGACCTTGCAGAACGCCTGCACGAACCACGACCCCGTGGCGACGTTACGCCACGAGTAGTAGCCTAGTGAAACGAAGGCAGGTCACAGAAACATAAGTCGTCACCAAGCTTGCCCTGCCAACATACTGCCCACAGCAATAATCGTTATAGGTGAAGAGACCATAGCGGTTTGCACAGGACAGCCGCGCTCACCAGGCACAGTCGAGTAGCAGTAGAGGAAGTCTGCCTCCACTGGGATGGTTTGGCGAGATATTGAGTCGGAATCGGTTTCCACATCATTATCCGCGCACGTGGTCGCCCCCTCATCAAACTCTGTCCCGCGGCATGCCTGCAATGCACGAGCAACAGCGTTCTACAGCGACATGCACACTCTGCATATATGGGCCTCCATCAAAGTATGGGGTGGATTTCTTTGGTGTGGCCGAGGATCCTACCAATGCGACATTTTTTTTTCGCGCAGAGCAAAAAATGCCGCGCATAAACCGTCCAAATTGCATTGTTTATCCTGTTGCTTTTGGAAAGCAATGCACCAGACTGAATATCTGCATGTCGATAAGCCCTTTGAAGGTATAATTACAACAGATACGCACAGGTATACATTTCCTCAAGTAAAAAAAAAGGCTTGTGGGTTTGCAGAAACGCTGTTTATGTTATAAAATGCTGGTGCCATGTCGATGATGCATCATGCCGGAAGATGGCGCCGCACCTACAGGCAGCTCCTCCCTGCTCAAGCTATCGCTCCCGGTCCCCACCTTGCTCACCCCCCCTTCTCCCCCATCCCCCTCCCACAACCCTTCTTGCGTTTCCGTTCCCTTCTTCTGTATTTCTTTATTTCTGCTACGGCACCCGAGTCGATTTCCTGGCTCGCTGCCCTGCCCCAGCGTGGAGCGGCCCCATACTTTGTGCTTTTCCCACTCCCCCCCACTCCGTGGCGCACACTCGCCCACTTGTCCGCCATCTGCCACGCCGCTGTGGCCCCGCAGTGTGCCTTCCTGCGCGTCTCCGTGCTCCTCCATGGCTCTTCGCCCGACCGTCGGGTTGCCTTCGGGGTTGCCCTGGTGGACCCCCCACCTTGACGCTGAGCCGGGGACCACCTTGCAGCCGCTACGTGCGGCGCTGGGGTGCCGCTGTCGGCTCCTCACTCGCGCCGCCCTGCCAGGCGGTCGTGAGACCATGGGGCTGCCTACTGTGCCACTTCGGGGGGGGTCCCGCACCGTCGCGGTGGCGATGCCGCACGGCCCCGTACCCAGGAACTGCCAGAGCTACCCATGGCACCACCGCAGCCGGTCTAGCCTGCAGCTGGGCTACATGGCCGCTGGGTGGCGCAGCCACGCCTGCCCAGCCATTCCCCCACAGCCCCGCTGTCAACTAGGGGTGCCTGGGTCGGGCTCTCACTCGCAGGCGGTCTTGCGGTCGATAAACCGCGCGGTCCCCCGATCACGCCATCTGCTGGGCTGCGTCAGCTGGCCGCTCGATGTCGCTGTGCAGTTGCTTCTCGCGACGGCATGGATGCGTTTAATTCCACTGGTCAAGAAAAAAAACATTGTTTTCTGGCCTGGACTTTTGCAGCTGTTTTAGACTAATTTCAGGGTGCTCATTCCAAATCTGATCTCAGATTTGCTCTATCACATCTCATTTTTATGCTATCGGCATACCCCATTTTCATTGATTTTACCCGAAATTAACTCTGTCACTTATGATTGCAAGTTGTTGCGAGTCAGTGACTGCTTTAGTGTTAAAATATGGTGCTGGAATTTTTAGGATAGTGTGTTTGTAATATCATTTTATGTAGATATCCACATTTATTTAATGTTTTTCTTCTGCAGTTTTTATTGAAAATGCAATATTTGATATCTCAAAAAACCTGATGTGATAGAATTAATGCTGATTAAATTATGCCATATACTCACAGAAGGTCGTACGGCTGATGAGATGTGCATTTATATTTAATCTTTACGTAATGCGGATGTACACATAAGAGAGGGAGGCGTAGTGTCTGCTCATGTATTTATTCCGTAGATGAACGCCTACAAATGTTTGAAGTTGTTTTAACATGGTAAACCACGGTATTGCCTCAGCATCGTACCTCACTTGTTATGGTTTCCAGTTCGTGCAAACTATGTACAGGTAAACCTAACGCCTCCAACATGCGCTGCAGCCTCACCTTCGACAACGCCCCACTCAAGCAACAGCATCCTGCTAGATCTACACAGTATCACTGTGTATATGGTGCATCACCACCCATGTCTTTGTTTGTTGTGCTGCAAGTCTCGTCTGTGCACATATAACAAGTTTTGTTGCGTGTAGTGACTATGCCCTGCAGGTAATATGCAGTCACTTCATCATCACCAAGGCATGGTCTGTACGTGTCTTTTAACTCTCAAAAGTGCCACATAACTAACAAGCGCCGTGGTGATGTCACTGCTACTTTGTTGTTGTTGATGCTCCTGTGTGCCTGAAGAGCAGCTGTCAGATGGTAGCCACCCAAAAACCTTTTGCCCAACCTCCTGCAGCTGTGCATACCTGTATGAAGAAGAGCTTGGGTTTGCCGACAAGATGGCGGCACAGGTCTCCGCGGAAGGGGGTGGTGAGATCGCGAATGGGCAAATAATCGTCTGTGCCGTAGATGACTCCCTCATCCCCGTGGCTCAGCAGGATACACACGAAGCATGCACATTGCCGGTGATCCTTCTCCGCAACTGCACCCAAGGAAAAGCAGCACAGTTAACAACCAATAAAATCTGTACCATTTTTATGTTACCAAGTGAGGCCCACCGAGTGGTACAGCTCTTTTTTTCAGAAGCCACCTGGCCTCAAATGATAGCTCAACAAAGTGGCTTATCATGTGGAAACTTATAGCTGTCAAATACTCTAAACGCATGTTTCTAAATACGGAGGGAAAAACTGGAGCACCGAGAGAAAAATCCACAGCACCACGGACAGAGAGAACACGGAAACTCCAAATATAGAGGAGTCAAGGTCGGGGTCAAAGCCACGACCTCCTATATACCAGGCGAGGTAGTTAACATCTTGCTATCGTGGCCTACCAATGGCACAGCAAGCTAAATAAAGGCCACAGCATTTTACAAAAAGTGTACAAACTTTCAGAGAAACATAAAACGTGCATTCTTAATGTGTGAGGATTTTATTTGGCACAGCGGGGAGCACAGGTGGTGCATCTGCCAATCATCTCAGCCATAATATGTGCATGTTGAACTTTTCGCACCGTACGTAGCCAGCCCTGTTTATCGGAAGTGCGGGCCAGATAATGATATCTGGGTCTATCCCGAGGCCTCCTGCGAAAGCAAGCCTTTAAGACATCACGTGGCCTCAAAGTGCACAGAGCCTATTACAAGCGCTGCTGTGACATCACCGTCACTTAGTAGTGGTGAATGGCGACTGTTGTTTTACTTTATTTTCTTCCATGCAGATGTTATGTTTGTTAGATCTGTAAATATACTTACTAGGGTAATGTTATTACACCGTAGATTGTCTGTTTTTAAGCCAGAATATTTCAAAACAATTGGACCCCTTATCGCACTGTATGCCTTTATCATTACCCTCTGCGGTTCTCGCAAAAGTGTTCAAGTGAAAATGCTCACAGAGAAACCTGCCGATAACCAATTAACAAAGTAACTATTTCTTTAATGAGCCCATCATGCCTTTGATATTAAATATTTTTTTTATAACATTTGTAAAAGTCAACTGTGGTTGTTCTGTGAGAGATGTGTCCATGCAATGGGAATGTGTCATTTCCACCATTGCCCCAGGCTTGGAGATGGATGTCTGGGTATCTGCCCAATTGCTCGCTAAAGGAAAGACATGTTGGATTTTTGTAAATTTAAAACGCCTCAATTGCAACCTTGACACTAATTTGCCTGTGTGATATTTATATTAAACAAGGCCATCTTTTATCCCTGGATTACATTGTTTTGTATTTTAACAAACATCTAACGTAAAATGTTTGTTTACCTTCCGTAATATACGAGACCATCTCTTTTCTTTTCATATTGTTTTTCACTTCCACTTGAAATCCGAGATCTTTGAATTGTTTTTCAAGCATATCTCGATCCACATCTGTGCCAGTTCTTTCACCCATTCCTTAACAGCAGAAAGAAGTCAAACAGATCAGTCACCTTACATATACGGCTCTTTTGTCAATCCCCTACTGGATAACGCTCTCCTCACACTGTGCAGGTCATGGGGGTTACTTGACAATAGTTCGGCATTCTGATCGGTGTGGGTTGGTGAAGGTGCAGAGCATATAGATGCTTGAGCACAGAGGTACAGTACAACGATTAATGTTGCTCTGCTGCCCACTATGTAGCCCCGCAGCCTACAACGCCTGTATGCATAGTGGCCGCCCATCCATGCGATAGAGGCTCAACACCGCTTAGTTTCTGTGATCTGATGAGATCGGCACATTCTAGGTAATTTGGTCATAGGCTCAGTCACCTTATCAAATGCACATAAAATATAAAAAATTTATGAAACCATTTACACGTCTTTGCCGCTGGACGTGACAAGCCATTGTCACATGTCGATACATTAACAATTGCTCATTTTAAAGCACAAATCGGTGACTTCACCTTCAAGCAATCAAACTGCTAAATAAATGCAATGCAGCTCGAATCGGCACATGTGTTGTCAAAAAAGCTTTCGAAGTTTTGTCAAAAAGTAATAGAACAGATATTCGTCGAGTTAAATTATGAGTAACGCTCAAACCAATCGTAATTGGTCAAGGAACAACTAATTACATACATATGAAATATTAAAGCACTTTTTTAACTTCACTGTTAGATGAAGGCCTCAATCACAGCGCTTCGGTTATGGAGCTTCTATGACGATACTTCACCATGCCAGTTAGTGCAGGTTGATAAAGGTTGGAAAATCAATAATTTTTGTAAATCGCTTTTTTGCCCGCCATTACCAATAATGGTAAAACAATGATATAACAACCCTAATAGATAAAAAAAAATACCTGTTCTCTGATCAAATGTCTTGTTGTTGATGATCACACAATATCCCACATTAGAGTAGTTCATGTTATAAGCCACTGAATCCGAGAGTCCTTCTTGATCCACCTCCATTTTTTCCTCCTTTCTTTTACCGGTCTTGCTGTTTGGCAAAATAGAACAGGAATACAGTAAGAGACAGAAGACAAAAAGGTGGTTTTTGAATTGGTGCAGCAGAATATGAAGGATAATGCGATGAATGTGGAAATTACTCAGGATAGGAATGGGTAGACAAAGAGGACCAGGGGGCTGAGTACATCAAAAACTGCATAAATCCTGCGAGGCTCCTCCGAACCATGGAGTGTGAAGCACAGAGTATCTGTACGTTCACCAGCCAGTTCGCAAACATGGATGTGCATCAGTAGTTGCTAGGAATTACGTCATCACGCACGCTTCAGCAGCCCTCCGAACCATGGAGTGTTAAGCACAGAGTATCTGTACGTTTACCAGCCAGTTCGCAAACATGGATGTGCATCAGTGGTTGCTAGGGATTACGTCATCACCCACGCTTCAGCAGCCAATCATCTGCCAGGAAAACAAACCTTGCCAACAGTCTGTTAAAAGGCTGTCTGGGATATATTTCTTTGTCTATTTTTCACAGTGTGTGTCTGTGGGGAGATTATTTGCATATTATTTCCCGCATGTGTTTGTGTGTCAGCTGTATGCATTTGTGAGCACGTGCCTGTGTGCTTGTGTCTCTGCTTGTGTATTTGTGTCTTTTCGTGTGTATTTGTGATAGTGCGTGTCTGTGTGCGCGCTTTTCTGTGTTTGTGAGAGCACAGATTATGTGTGGATATGAGTACTGGCGGACTCATGGGGAGCAGAAGCGTAGCGGTTAGCATGCTGTGCTCCAGACCCGGTGAGACACGAGTTCCATTCCGGCTCACGACCAACACCAGTGACTGTTATCTGAACTGGTCCTGGACATCCTCTAGGCCGACTCGGCCTCAAATGAGTACCTGGTGCGATGTGTAAACATCACCACTCGAGAGACAAAGGTGGCCGGGCGTGGTGCTAGCTACCCACCCCCTCAGTGTGCCGTGCCGGGCTTCATCGTAGGGCTGAACGATTGATCGATTTCAAATCGAAATCGCAATTTGAAACAATGCGATTAGCAAATCGCTAATCAATGCGATTAGCGAAGTTCTATACTTTTTGATTGGAATTGATTTATTTTTATTATTATAACTTTCTTTACGTAACATAATAATTGTTCTGTTCATTGATTCTAGTTAAATTAAACATTTTAATAAATACATGTGGGAAGCAATTAATATCTTTTAAGTTCTCATCCTTGCATTAGAACATATAGAGTAGTTCATATTATGATGGAACCATGTGGTAATGCTCCATCACGTGTCTGAAATCTATTACACAGTGAATATTGAACTGAAGCTTGACTTTAAAAATGTAATCGCAAATCAAATTGCAATTAGATATTTTCCCCAAATCGATCAGCCCTACTTCATTAGGTGCTCACTAAAAGTACTTGCCCCAACAGTCTATTAAGGCTATACAGGGGATCTTTGTCTTTTGTTTTGCAGACTTAAGGCTGCGCTCAGCTATCCCAACGATCTCACATAAATGTACGCATTCCTCTTGCGTAAATCCTGTAGAGAATCGGTTATGGGACGATCCTTGGCCTACATAATTGCATCAGCCACTCAGTACCGCAGCCCCCGGAAGGCAGGAAATGTCATGAAGAACAGTGCAACTTATCATATCCATGCCCTATCCATCTTTAACACCTAATATGCATGGCCCCCATTAATTCCACAAATTGGTCCTGATAAGAGTTGTGTGGAAAATCTATGCTATCCATGGTTTTTGGCAACCACGTGGGGTTGCCTTCGCCATGTAATAACTTTCATCCATGTTTTTAATAAATTATACTCACACGGAGAACATTTAAATGGCAGGAAATGGAAACTCAAACTGAGAAAAAAACACAACATTTTATCCAGTAGGTTTGCATTAAATTAACATAACATGGAAATGTTTCTGGTGGTCATTGCCGGTCAAGTATGTTATAAACAAGCTGATGGTGAAACGTCATTGAGAGGTGTGATGGTACGGTATGAGAAAGTAGCAATAACTATGGTGGGCAGTGAACGCAGTGCTGAGATGCTGAATGCAGTCTATTAGATAGAGCGCAAACATTATTGCCACGTATTACTTGATAATGCAACTCAAGCAAGTCCAAAACCAGGCCCTGAAGTACTCAACAGAATTAAGAAGCATCATTTAACGGCGCACACTTCGCATAGGTAGGACACATGAACATTTCCAAGACAACAGATGGCATTGCACACACTGGAGTTTAAGATAAACTAATACACAGAACAACTCGTGTAACAACAACTCCTGAGCACGGTGAAATGGTTACGCTATGCTCACCTTTGCAAGAAAGGGATGCCCCTGTCGCTACGGCAAGGGTACGCATCAGTGGCGTCGTGCAGGGGCGACTCCATCACCACCATCCGCTCCAGAATTCTTGAGCTCCTCCGTCGTGGATGGGCTACTCTTGTCTTCTTTATCAGCCATTGCAAACCAACCTGCAGCAACCAAAGCACAGTTGTTTTTAATAATAATAATACATTTATAACGCACGCAAATTTGCAGACGTAGTGGCCGCAACTCAGACGCGCGGAGCCAAGCTCAGTCGCTCGAAAGCGTGGTTGTAGAGCTGAGTTTTTAAGTCTCTCTTGAAAGAGGCGATTGAGGTGATGCTGCGAATGTGCAGAGCGATATCGTTCCAGACTGTTGGGGCTGCCACCGAGAAGCGGCGCATAGACATGACCCGAATGCTTTTGTGAATGGCTTTTAATTTTTCCAATAGACTGAAGGTTAAAATAGACAAGTTAAGTGGCTTATTGAGAATAAATTCTTCATTGGACACGTTTTATAAATATGTTTGTTCAACTTGATACTTATGAAAGTCACACTAAAAATGAAAAGGGAAGTTATAAAGAGATCAATATCCTGTTTTACACCATTATCACCTGGTGAATGGTATCGATTTTGCAAAAACCATTTCAAGGTTCTTAAATATAAAATTTGGAGATAGTTAACTACCTCGCCTGGTATACAAGAGGGCATTGATTCGATCCTGAGTCTAAAGACTGTATTTTTGGACATTGTATGGTCCCCCTGTGGTCGAGTGGATTTCTCTGGGTTCCCTGTATTTTCCCTCGACATTTAGAAAATGCGTTTTAGAGTATTTAGCTGCTATCCATTTCCAGACGATAAACCCCTTTGTCGAGGTAGGTCACTTCTGAATAATAGCTATAATAGCTGTGGGTCTTACCCTGGAAAATGAAATAAAAATAGTTTAGTTATATCTTCTTGGTTCTTTCGGTAAAGTCCCGTATAAGGGAAATAATAAAAGAATAAAAATAAAACATAATAAAATACAATTCTCACGACGTTTCAGGCCACAACGCAAGCAGCCGTTCTTCACCTGAGGACGGCTGCTTGCGTTGTGGCCGAAACGTCGTGAGAATTGTATTTTATTATGTTTTATTTTTATTCTTTTATTATTTCCCTTCTACGTGACTTTACCGAAAGAACCAAGAAGATGAATCCCTGCAGTCACGAAAGCTTTAAATCGAAATTTAGTTTAGTTATAGTTTAAAATGGCAGAGCTCCCTGCGAGGCCACCGATCAGTGGACTTTGTGTCACCGATTAAAATGCAAACATAGTCCTTCCAGATGACAATCAATACACACGCCAACAAGTATTCACAATTACAAAGGATGCTTTGTCCTGGCAGCACTGTTGGGCTAGCAGGTTTAAAAATCCCACACTTCCTCATCACAGGTAATGAGGAATATTTTGGAAAGCTAAAAGAAGTACGTATACTTATAAGAATAAACAACCTAGCAGAAGGGAGGGGAGAGCAATTAAGACACTCTTAAGACATACATATCGAGGCATGATAATGACTTTGACAAATCAATAGATTAATCTCTATCGGATTCAATGCCCCATAAAGCTATTTGTTCAAAGGGATATCATGGCAAGCAAATATTTGTCCGTCAACTCAGGTTGGCAATTCACAGCGCAGTGTGCTAACCACTGCCACTACCCTTCAACAAACAGGCTCCCCAGCAAGGTTAAATATAAGCAAACAAGCCCACGACAGACATGGTGGCGTAGGAAGGCCTTTATCCAGCACTACATATGTACCAAGAGCGGTACATTTTTATTATTTTCCAATACTTGTCATGGCCTTGAGTGGAGGTATGAGTTTTAATCAATTCTGCTGTTTAAATGTTCCATTTATTACGTAAGCAACACTTGCTAACGGAGTAATATTGTATGTTTTCATTAGAGGCCAGGAGGCTGATGCTACTTCACAACAAAGTTGATTTTATATTTCTTAATACATAAACATATAAGTGCAGTGCATGCATTTTTAAACAGCTCGCATAAAACAATGGTTTACCTTATTGGCAGCTGATAAACGTCCATTTAAAAAGATCGCTCAAATGTTTTAAAAGCACCTTCAGATAGACAATACTAGCACTCCCCAAAGCAAGAGAGCTTAAAATTACAATGCAGTGACGATCTGGCATATTTACTGCCATGGGTGTTGTGCAAATCAAGTACAGTATTACGAGGAAATACGTTTTGGCAAAACAATGCCTGGCCTGAAGTAAAGTCAGTCATGTGCCTTCCTACGCAATATTTACCAAAAGTTTACCAGCATCGTGGTGCAATTGGTATCACGTACTTATATTTACTGAACTATAAACTTTTTTAAACACACTTTATATTCTTGGTTCTTTCGGTAAAGTCACATAGAAGGGAACTAATAAAATAATATTAATATAAAACAATAAAAAAAACACACTTTGTTAGAAATCAAGTCTTAACTCTTTTCAAGTGTGAAACCCTAATCAATGTGCTGTTATCTAATCATTATTATTACAAGGAGTGTAACATGATTACAGAGGTGTTTAAATTCATCGTTGAAAATCGCTTCTTGCAATGAGGATATGTGCATAGAATATTTCATGTAACAATGTATTATCTTCAATTCAAATTCATTGTACATAATGGGTGTTGGCTTCGTGTGATAACTTTCCGTACAACTGAAAAACATGATTGCTCCTTCCATTAGATCACGGGGGGGGGGGGGGGGAATCGTGCGAGGCGCATTCATTCACAATGTTTGAAGAGTAACAACTCTTTATGAAATACGAATTCATCACCTGCCTATTGTGTATCGCCATCCTTCACGGTCCAGTGCCGCTACCACTCCTCCTGCACTTGAACCGATGTCATCGCTCCATCTCCATAGTGGTCACACTTTTGGATGAGTTCTCTCGTTTGAGCTGCCATTCCATTACCAGTCTCATCCATCAGCCATCATCCACTCTACTCATGTGTCCTGCCCAAACCCATTCACGTTTCTAAATTGTCCGTAGGTTGGTGGATAAAATACAAATAAACTTGTGCTAAATTATAAACTCCACGAAATGTGTCACCTCTGAGAGATGGTGCATAATACTTCGGTGAAAAATATGGCACGCAAGGAAGTTGTCTCACGCAGATGAACGCTTCCGTTAGCTGTTGAGGTTGTTAGGTGTTAATTTTGCGTGAATCGAATCCTTCAGCCGTTAAGCAGTGTGGAAATAAACGTTCTTTGAAATAAAAAAAATTCTACTTGCATTTACAAATACATCAAATTGCTACAGTGTATTTAACTTTTTAACAATTTTAATTACTGTACACAGAAATATGAAGATTTAAACCCTGCAAAAACATACACATGTAGAACAATAGTTGAACCATTTAATCATTTGAGTTTTAAAATGTGCATTATCTGCGTGAAACAAGATTTGCTTCGCTGATTTTTATCTCACAAAAATGTGGTTTGGGTGGTGCAACTACCGTTGCGCTAGGCAGAGAGACACGCTTTAGTCCAGCCCCCCATATGCGAAGCCCTTCTTGAGTATCACGAGAGCAGGACACGTGAGCAGAGTGAGTCAGAGGCTACTACGTACATGCACGAATGTGTTAACACCTGAGCCCCATCCATTCCGGGACTAGTTCCGTGCCATTTCAACAACAATGCGGGGGACGGACGAATGCCCCTAAGCCACTACATTTGAAAGATTTGTTTTTCATACCCAATAATAAATACAGAATTACCTAGGGCTGATAAACCTCACAAGCAGTCGAAACATCGATAAAGTTGGCTTTAGCTGTGCCAAGTACAAGGAAACGCAAAAGATTGGCCAGTACCATTACAAGAAAAAACGGCCATGCGTATTTTTGTCGTAACGTTTTGTACCAAAACTCATTTCTCAATGCACCATCCCAATTAATGTACCGTTGAAATATCTATGTATGGACAGATGTTTTGAGCTGGAAGGTCATATATCTATTATAACCGTAACTGCGTTTTTACAATCTGACAAGCTTTCCTCATATTGTACAAGATGCTACCAGCTCCTAATAAAGAAAAAGAAACGTAATTCTAGATTTGAAGTTTTCCTGACTGAAAGGATCCATCCTCTTTGGTTCTTTCGGTAAAGTCACGTAGATGAAAAATAAAAATTATAAAATGAAAATAACTAAATTAAAATTAAATCACGACGTTTCGGAGGCTACACAAGCTTCCATCATCAGGTGGAACAGCCACAGCTGTAATTTAGTTATTTTCATTTTCTTATTATTTTTCATCTACGTGACTTTACCGAAAGAACCAAAGAAAAACAAACGTAATCTCAAAAGTTTCAAATACCACCCACATCTTAAGGACAAATGGTAATTCCTGGGAATGCCTTAGACCAAATGTCCCATCTTAATGTCACTGTGGGTATATTCATGCACCGTGAGTCACCCAACTGCCCATGGCAGCAGACGGCAACACACCTCAGAGCTGCAGGCACAAGACAAAAGCAACGCTGAGTGTGCTGGCTGAGTCAGCTGCATGTCGTCATCACAGCGCAGCCTGCGTGCACCAATGACCCCACAAACTAAGTGTGCACTCAGCACGAAACTTCAATCAAGGCATTTATCACTTTTACACACTTTTCAAAATGCTTTGCCAATCGCACTGTGCTCATTTCTGACCACCACTGGGTTACTTCTGCATTTGGAATACTGGGTTACTTCTGCATCAAAAGTAACCCAGTATTCCAAATTGAACAGAAGTGCTTGGGGCCAATTTCTGTCAACAAATTTAAATGTATGACATAAAAGATTCCTTCCTGTGCTTCAGCTGCTCATTCCAATGGTAAATCCAGCTTGTGAAACTTGCAAAATAAGTAAAAATGTAGTCTAACTGGCTATGCTATGCACATCTGTATTAAGGGTTTAGAGAAATTAATTCACAATTTAAGTTTGCTTGGTCAAAGATTCATACCTCTTTGGGTTTTTTTTCAGTAAAGTCACGTAGGTGAAAAATCTAATCAAATAAATGAAGACAACTAAATTAAATCACGTGACTTTACCGGGAAAAAAGAGTATTAATCCTTGCAGTCACGAAAGCTTAAAATTTAGAATGGTCAAATATTTTTGTTACTTTCCT